GGGGGGGGGGGGGGGGGGGCTGCCATTACAAAACACTGTGGTCCAGAGCCAATACCTATATGTTGGAGGCAATCCAAAGTTGAAATGGATTTAGACATTGTATGTACTTTATCTAAGAGCATAGAAAAAAAGGGAAATGGCAAAATGCTTAAATACATTGAGTATTTTTTTTAAAGTTTGTTTCAGCCTAAATCGATAAAAATGAGAAATGCTGCTGCGAGAAATAGTACAAATTGCCACCATTTTAAAGCTACAATGCTTCCTTTGATGATGATAGGTGATTATGATTAATATCCGCTCACTATAGGGGACTGTCTCTCTCTCTCTCTCTATATATATATATATATATTGAATTCATCTCAGTGCTTTAAGTTATAAAACAAATAATGTCCTTGTGTGATCTACGGCGGCGACAGGTCTTAGATTAAAATTGTCTTGATGTGTTTAATGCTCCTGTTATAATGTCTTCATAACTGAACCATATTTTATTTTCAAAGTTGAATCTTTGTTTTAAAATTGTGATTACACAAAGATTGTCTTGATGTTAAGAGTCATATGAAATTGGGGGAGGGTTGGCAAAAGTTGCATTTAGGAGTGGAAAAAGTGCATTTCAGATATTGTTTGTTTTATGAGTGTGAGCAGCATTGTCTCTCGCCAGAAAATATTAATTATGCTCTAATGTTTCTGTTTAAAAAATATTAAAAGAACTGTCTTAGCAACACTATCGAAATATTTGGTTTCTTCTTTTATTTCTGTATTTCCAATGGTTGTGAGACATAAATAAATTAATTTAATTGTTAAAATTATGTCATTATTTTCACAGATTTTTGGACCTGTAGCACAACGTAACAATGTATTCCCCTTTATTCAAAGTTGGTAGTTCAGTTGTTTGTTTTTTTTCAAAATCACAACTTTGGGCCAATTAAATATCACAGGCCCCCTTGCAGCCACTGTGATTGCAGGGCCCACCCGACGGCTCTGCTCTTCATCAACCTCTTGGTAGAGTGGCAGTTCAGACCAGCTGCCACTTGTTTGTTTGTATTTCCTTTGGGTGGGAGGCAGTCCCCTTGTGCCTAGTTAAAAATCAGTTGTCAACATCATATTAAATGCAGACTTACAAATTTTAGTTACAAGCTCTCAGAGTAAAACCAACTGGAGCAGTGGAAGTAAATAAATGTCAGAAATTGATGGGTAATATTGAATCCCTCTACTGCACACTTACTTAGTTCCAATGGGCCAAGTTCAAGACATTTTTATCTGATGCCATCTATCTTCCATGAGCTAGAACATTATTTCCTCCTCTTGAAAAATAAAAAAAATTTTAAAATTGTTTTACTTAGTTGGCACAACTGGCTGCTGACAAAGACTAACAAATAGCCAAGATGACTGTTCAAGTGGGCTGAGAAAAGGACGTAAATTAGTCTGTTCTGACTCTATCATCCTCTCCTTCTTGCCCCCCCCCCAAACCGGCTTCAAAACCATCCCCCTGCTCCCCCTTGCTTTCTGTAAGGGGAGATTAATATGGGGGGGGGGTGTCAATATTCTGACTCTATCATCCTCTCCTTCTTGCCCCCCCCCCCCAAACCGTCTTCAAAACCATCCACCTGCTCCACCTTGCTTACTGTAAGGTGAGATTAATATGGGGGGGGGTGTCAATGCATTACAAGCAACTAGGTAAGCATTTTGTGTTATTCATACGAGGGTAAAAAACCTATAGAAAAAAGGGATGAGAGGAGACACAATTTCTTCAGGAATAAATCCATCATCTGAGAGCTTACTAAAAAATATTAAGCCATAAAGAAACAGCTCTTCTTAATAAATTACTTGTCCAGAAACTAATGAGGAGGTGGGAAGAAGGTTGTACAAGTAAACTAGCCTCATAAATCTAGTAACATTTTCTGTGGAGAGTGTGTCATTGTCACATATCACTTGAATGCCATTTTACATCTAATGATAGCCTCACTAATTGAATACGAGGTTACACACATGAAAAGACAAGAAAGTCATTGCACAAATCCATCAATGGTTTAATGGCTCCACAAACCTAATAATTGAACTTGGTCATAAAAAGAGACACAATAAGTTCAATAAGGATATTTGTTAAAATATCACATTGCAGTTTCTGTAGAGAAAAGAAAGAGAAAAAAAAAGCTATTGTACATTGCATGCAGGGATATTGTGCATGAGACTGTGTCCATGGCTAGAAGAGGTGAGACATTGTTGGACAATGAAGGTTGAGAACGCTTCGGCTGAAAGCCTTGTTCAGCGGACAAGATAAAACAAGAAACAACAAAGAAATAGAAAATGCTGTAAAAACTTCAGTCTCAGTAGTTAGCTGTGTCTCTTCATTTTCTCTGGACCCCCTGAATAGCTTTAGTGTGGAAAATGAAAAGTCTATTCAGGAGCATTGACTTTCTCGTCTGCTGGAACCAGTTTAGACACCCCACCACTGAGACTTTATTTTTTAACGCATTTTTATTTCTTTGTTGTTTTGTTTTGTCTCGTCTGCTGAAAAAGGCTTTCAGCCGAAACCTTCTCCTTCTATTGTCCCATTCTTTCACTTCAAGTCATCAACATAACTTGTTCAATGATTTCCTTCACACAGCTTCACGCAGTCCTTCATTTACTATGGAATATTTTGCATGCGATCAGTTTTAATGACAAGCAGAGGTGGGATATTCATTGATATATAATACTATATAAGTTAAGATTAAAAAAGTACATCTTAAAATATGTATCTACTCTAAAACTAGCGTAACCTACGTACATGTATTATACTACTGAGCATGAAAAATATATTCATATTCCTGTCATTGCTAGATGTGTTATAATTAAATGTGTGAAGCTTATTTTATTTACTTACTTTCTACAAAGAGAACCCATGTTTACTTTTGACCAAATTTCTAAACAACTGAAAATGAGCAATGTCTACAAATATATTGATTTAGTTTTGAATATATCTCTGGTTTACAGTGTGCTACAAATCTGGGATCTGGTACACAGCTTACCGTTGTCAAAAATCATGCTTGTAATTTAATTTATCTCAAATTACAAGTTATCTAAATATGTGTTATGAACAATGTTCAATGAGAAGTGAAGAACTGCTAGCAGGTGATTGACCCATAATTTTTGTTAGACAAAAGTGCAGCCATGTGTAAAAAAAAATTTAAATCTCCACTTTTCATAATTTAAAAGAAAAAAATTGGTACTTGAGAAGCAATGCTTTTTTTTATGCTGCACCTGCCTTCTTGTCCATTGATCTGCTATGATCATTAAAATTTTGTATGATGCCTCATATGCATTGCTATAGTGTGTGTTTCGGTTACCATACAAGTCTCATATGCATTTCTATTGTGCTGTGTATTTTTGGGTTACCATACCAGTCTCATATGCATTGCTATGGTGATGTGTGTGTTTGGGTTACCATACCAGAAATTTGTAAAAAAAAATTTACTCGAAGGAAAATTATTTACAGCTAAAAAAAATTTAACATTCTTTTGTTCAAGCTGAATTTGTTCGAACTAAAATTTGTTTTGAATGAAACTTTGTTCAATATGGCATTATGGGGGGAAAAAAAACAAGCAAACATATGTGTGTGTTAAAAAGTTTACAGATCTTTTCTCGGCCGCATTTCCATTATAAACATTTTTTTAAAAAAATAAGTAAATACATTTCAGTTTAAACAATTTTCTTCTTAAAAAATTCAATTATACAAATTTCCAGGTACAGTGTTTTTGGTATAGAATTTTCTCTTCTTATCCTGGTAGTACTGATGTGTATATAATGTGTATATACAACACAGCAGTTCAACAACTTCTATATTTCTATATATTATACTAACTAAGTGCAGATAAAACATTTGATCACGTGGAAGTAAATGCACACCAAAACCCCTGGTAAACATTGAGCCCTGAAATATCTTCATGTTCTCTCCAACTTTCTGTTCACTCCATTACCAGGTGAACGATTTGCTTCATGAGATCAGATCTTTGTTTGCTGTCAGTTTACATAGTTTTGTCATTCAACAGTGATGCCCATTGCAATCGTCTCTTTGAGTGGACAGTTAGACTCCTTGCACCTCAACATTTAACAATCCTCTTAAAAATCCCCCAATTTTCTATAATTAAGACTGCTTTTATTCCCATTCTCAACAATAATGTCCCTTGCAATCCCTGATTGTGTGTACTGTTAGACTCATTTCACTTCAACAGTCAACAATGCCCCTTGCAATCCCTGATTGTGTGTACAGTTTGACTCATTTCACTTCAACAGTCAACAATGCCCCTTGCAATCCCTGATTGTGTGTACTGTTAGACTCATTTCACTTCAACAGTCAACAATGCCCCTTGCAATCCCTGATTGTGTGTACAGTTTGACTCATTTCACTTCAACAGTCAACAATGCCCCTTGCAATCCACTAATACTAATTTTCTACAGTTGGACTAATTCCATTCTCCATGCCCTAGCATCGCAAACAATTTAAATTCAGTCTTATGCACGATTTTAATATAAAACCATACATGCAGTAAGTTGACTAATTTGTTAAGCCCAAGGACTACAGGTGAAATTTATTGCTAATGGTGAGGGGGTGGGAATTATAAATATGGAAGAAAATTACATTATTCTATGATACAAATACTATAAATCTACAGATTATTTTATAACTATGAAGTAAAAAACAAAAATTAATATCAATGGTAATTTCGGGAAATTTTCTTTTTAGGTATTACCCCAAAAATATATACTTTTTTTAGCCATTACCATAATATATATTTGTTATTTTTTCGTTATTACCCCCAAAGTATAAACAGGTAATTTTTTTAGCTATGACCCCAAAATATATTTGTTTACCTCATCATTAACCCTGAGTTGAAGAGGAAAAAAATCATATGCTGTTTAAATCCAAAGT